GGTCCCCAGGTAGAACCTGTGGGGTGTGACAGAGCCTCCCCTCGGGCCGGTCACCTCGACCTCTGCTGGGAAGGAGCTCAGGTTGGACATCCTTGACACCCAAGTGTCTTCTCTGGGTGAAGAAGGTCACTGGGTCCTACCTGGTACTCTGCTGGCCCAAGACACTGCCACATGAACAGAGCCCCAAGCATCTTGCACGGTGCCTGCATGGTCACTGTGACACTGAGTGGGCCCAAAGCCACGTGCAGGTGGTGTTTTGCAATTTGCTCAGTCCTTGCCTTGCCTCTGGGTCTGTGTGTGACCTTCCAGAGCTCTGGAGTTGGGGTGGGGTAGGCGGCTGTAATTTGATGTGTAGTACTTTGTATAATTGTTGGATACTTTGTCTCCTAGGTTGAGATTCTTGGTTTTAGTCCTTCTTGGACTAGAATTCTCGAAAGAGACTGCACCCTGGAGCAAAGGGAGACACCAGTAACAGGTGGATGAGGGTCAACGGGTAAGGGTGTTTCCCCAGTTGAAAGATCACTGCAGCATTTTTGTAACTTCGATGTCATTTTCAACTTGAAAGTGAAACATTGTATCCCTGAGGCAAAATGTATTAGGGTGAACACACTCCTGTCCTCCTGGGAGGAAGGGTCAGCCACCCAGCGAGAGTCCATGGCTGAGCAGGGTCATGGGAGCGCCCCCTTGACAGGTGACGGAGCAGGAAGTCAACATGCCCTTGGATGAAGGGTCTCCAGGCCCCAGGCTGTGGGTGCAGTGGCACCCGGACTGGACTCCCAGCGTGAGGAAATGCACGGGGAAGGCAGGGCACAGAGAGAAGTCAATGAAAAATTCGGGAGCTTTCCAAGCCCTTCCGATATTTTCCTTTATGTTATACATATATACATTTTTTACCAACGTACAACAAAGAGCGAGCTGTATCCCCCCTAGGAAAATTGATTCATGGCAGGAGCTGCTGAACAGGAGGCAGGGCTCCCTCTGTGATGCCCCCGGCCCTTTCCTGGTGCTGGGTCTGCCTTGGCAGCTCACCGATGGCAGCACCGGGCTGAGCCTTGTCAGGGGGCAGAGGGCTGCGAGCAAGAGGCCGGGATCATGGGCAGGAGAGGGACAGCTGCTCGTATGTGTCCCTGAAGCCTCAGGGCATACATCTGGAGGCCCTTTCAGTGCCCCTGTCAGGGGAGGAAGTAATAACATGTGTTCTGGAGCTTGTAAGTCGAGGTACGTTGGTGAGGTGGGCAGCAACAGAGACGCTTGCATCTTTGGATAAGAACCAAACAGATATCTTTCAATTTTTGATACTTCTTTCAAGTTAAATGTTATTGATAAATACATGACTTCTAAAGCTGGGCGAGGCCTGGTTTTGATTTTGGGGAAGCGCGGATAACATCCCTTATTGGTAGAACGGAGGCCCCTTTAGGCTCATTCTCATCCTCAGAGGTATGAACTCTGAACACACTTGTCACTTGATTGTGTACACGTGGAATGGAGCAGTTTGTGGTTTCTCTGTCACTCGATTCTATGCATTCCATTGGAGAGAGGGCGAAAAGTGACACTGGGATCTGCCACTCTAAATTATTTCTAATGATTGATCAGTCACAGCTAAGGTAGGCCCTCCTTTGATTTTATTCAAAGCCAGGACACTGAGCCCACTCTCTATGGAAGTAAAGTGTGCACTACAAAACACTGCCTGCGGTTGGTTCTCTGGAGCCTGGAGTTGTACGTGCAGAGTCAATGCCAGGTAGGATCTGAAGGATGACGTGTATGTCAATTATCCTGATAAAAGGGAGCAAGGGTGTTTACCTCAAGGGAGGTGGAGCATGAGAACCAGTGTCCCCAGCTGGCACATCCATCGTCACTGTACACATCGACCTCATCATCCTGAAGTGAAGGTGTCTGAAATGTTTCGCTCTCCCGAGTCCCTGTTTACCAGCTAGACGCGCAGTGTGAGGGAGCCCAGGGATTTCAACCACTGCCAAAGGACACCTGTCACAAGCACATCCTGCCGAGGACTGCAGTCCAGGGTCTGTGTGGCTTGGGATAAACTGTACCTACCCCACCCACCACCCTCCTGTACCCATAGTTCCAACTTGCAGTATTTAGGATTATATGATGACAAGACTCACTTAGATGTGATCATGAACCACAAAAACAAGCGATTGTAATGTATTGATGTCATTTTAAGTCAGAGAAACGGCACTGGAACCAGAACCAAATTGAGAAGCTCATGCAATTAGCTTGTAGGATAAAGCAACATTCCTCTTTGGCAAAGTCAGTTAGACTCAGTCTGTCACTTGTCTTTGGGGATGAGGTGACTTATTCTGTTTGACATATGACTTAAACTCGTCCCTTTTCTTGCCTAATTCTAACAACTGACTTTTACTGCCAGTTACTGTGCTGGGCATTTTTCCTGAATTGATTTCTTTATCCTCACACACATTCTAGGATAGCACCCTTATTTTACATATGAGGAAACTGAGGCTAAGAGTGCCAGCACCTTGCCGAAGACCCCACAAGGAGAAAGATCCAGAGCTGAGCGTGAACGCAAGTAGTCAGGCCCTGCACCTGGGCTCTTCCCCCCAACTCACTAAGCGAATACGTTCTCACTTTGAAAGATCCAAACAGCGTTCTAGAATGCGCAACGAGGGGCCAAACTGCCCCACCTGGATCCGGATGTAGGTGGGAGGAAAAGTCTCCAATGGGTTGAGAACAGTTGACTTGACACTTTCTTATCTTTCATCAGGAACAAGGTATGGGCTTTGGTGTTTTTCAATTCCTTCCTGTAACTGTGTGCAAATTTTCCTGATTTTATCTTTCAGGGTTTGCGTGTTTGAACTGTGTCAACTTCCATGTGCTTTGCCTGCTGCCAGACTTCCCGATGCCATTGGCGTCACTGTCTCTGTTGCGCACGTGGTGACGCAGGGATGTAGGAAAGGAGTGTCGCTCTGGTGCCACCTGCATCCAGCCCTGTCACACACTTTCATCCGCTCTAACGGTTTTTCTCAGCGGGGTACGTTAGATATCTCCGAGAGACGATCGACTGCCTGTTTATCACAACCAAGTCATTGATTTGTTTTTTTCAGATTTCCCCCCTCGTTTGAATATAAAGTCATTGAGAAGATGTCGGCCTTCTTTCTTTACTAGTTTTTTTTTAAAGTATATTTTCTTGATTATGCCGTTACACTTGTCCCAATTTTTCCCCTTGCCCCCCTCCGCCCAGTGCGCACCTGCTGTGCAGCAGTCCCCCCCTAAGTTCATGTCCATGGGTCATGAGTGTACGTTCTTCAGCTTGTCCCTTTCCCATTGTATTCTTAACATCCCCCTGTCTGTTTCGTTCCTCCCATTATGCTTCCGGATCCCTGCACCGTTTCCCCCATTCTCCCTCCTCTCCCTCCGCAGGTGATAACCCTTCAAATGATCCCCATCCCTATGATTCTGTTTCTGCTCTGCTTGTCTGCCGAGTTTGTTTTTGTTTTTGTTTTTATTTGTTAGGCTCAGTTGCTGATAGTTGTGAGTCTGTTGTCCTTTTCATGTACATAGTTTTGATCTTCTTCTTCATAAATAAGCCCCTTGACCCTTCTCTGTAATCATGTCTTGGTGCTGATGAACTCCTTTAGCTTTACCTTGTCTGGGAAGCACTTTATCTGCCTTTCCATTCTAAATGTTAGCTTTGCTGGATAGAGTCATCTCGTTTGGAGGTCCTTGCCTTTCATGCCTTTGAATAATGCCTTCCATCCCCTTCTTGCCTGCAAGGTTTCTCTTGAGAAATCAGCTGATGGCCTTATGGGAACTGCTTGGCAGGTAACTCTGCTTTTCTCTTGCTGCTTGTGAGATTCTCTCTTTGTCTTTCACCTTTCCCGTTTTCAGTGTGATGCGTCTTGGTGTGGTTCTCTTTGGGCCCAACTTGACTGGGACCCTCCGTGGTTCCTGGACTTGCATGTCTATTTCCTTCACCAACCTCGGGAAGTGTTCATTCATTACTCTCTCAAATACATTTCCAACGTCGTGCCATTTTTCTTCTCCTACTGGCTCCCCTATGATGCAAAGGTTGGAATGCTTAAAGTTCTCTCAAAGGCTGTATGCTACCCTCATTTGTTTCGGATTCTTTTTTCTTCTCATTGTTCCGATCACTTGTTTTGGGGATTTATATGTGCGAAATCGTTGATTGGCTTCTCGGCTTCATCCGCTCTCCTGTTGTTTCCCTGTATATCGTTCTTTATTTCAATTAGTGTGCCCTTTGTTTCCGACTGGCTGTATGTCATGCTGCTGAGGGCCTCACTAATTTCCTGGAGCATCTTTACACCAGCGTTTCGAACTCTGCCTCTGATAGCTTGCTTATCTTCATTTTGTTTACTGCATTTTCTTTAGGAGTTTTGATCTGTTCTTTCATTTGGGCCAGGTCTCTTTTCTTCTCCTTTTGGCAGACTCCCTGTGTTTGGTTCCATGTATCAGGTAGAGGTGTTCTGGCTCCATGTCTACGTAGTGTGGACTCATGTGGAGGGTATCCTGTAGTGTCTGGTGGCACAGCCTCCCCTGTTACCCAAGGTGGTATTCCAGGTGCAGCTCTTGGGTGGGCCGAGTACACCCTTCCTCTTGCAGTTGATTCTTGGTTGCTGGTGGCAGATCAGTGGGAGGGATTTACTGAGACCAGTCAGTTGCAAGGATTATCTGAGACCACTCATAGGCAAACTCCACCCTCCTTGAAGGATCAGCCGTGCACGGCCAGGTGCCAGTGTTCCGAAGTGGTGTGTAGCTGCCAATCAACTGATGAGACCTTTGTGAGATCCAGCCTTGGTTTTTGGCACAGAGGGCCCGTGTACCATGCCAGCGTTGCCTGTTGGTGACCGAGTCACCAGGGATTGACCGTGATGGTTGGCATCAGCCCTCGGCAAAGAAAGGAGGGCTGGAAGCCTGGCCTTGTGACCTGCCACGCCCGAGTGGGCAGGACCAGTGAGGCACACTGGCTACAAGAAGCCCGCGGCTCCCCAAGCTGCTGAGTCCAGCTGCTCACTGGTTGTTGTTTGCGAAAGCTGAGCTCACAGCAAAATCGACCATGAGGCTGAACCTGACTGTGTTTCTGGTCACTCTGGCCCTCCTCTGCTACGAGGGTGAGTATCACTCCTAATCAGACTACCATCAGCCCAGGTAAGTAACCTTCTCTGAGGTAGGGAACTTCTTTGGGGAGGAGGGTGAACGGATCGCAATCCAAACCTGCCTCGCTGCTTGTGGACCAGCCCCCTGAACGCCGAGGGCTGCTCTCTCAATCCTCAATGCGCTGGAGCATTTACAGAAAATCCATGCAGGACGCTTTTAAGAGTTTCCCGGCTGAAGCCTCACTCCCTCTCTAGGATCTGTCTCAGAAGCAGCGCCATGTGACAGACTTTGGTTGTGCATCGTGGCTCTGCCACTCAGCAGAGCTGTGACTTGAAGAGAATGCTCAGCCTCCCCAAGTCGCCTCTCAGGCTTGGTGTTTGCAGCTCCCAGCAAGAGCAGCTGTGACCGTGGAGGGAGAAAACGTGGGCCGGAGGCCCGCTCTGGGTCTCGTCCCACGTTCCCCTTCCCAGAGCCTGTGATGCCTGTTGGGTCCGTGGCTTTCAAACTCTGACATTCGGGCTCACTGAGTGTTGCAGGAGGAAGGGTTTTTGGAGAGTTCTCAGCTCAGGAGACCAGCGTTGCCCGGCTCTCTCCGTAATCAGTTCGAATCAGCAGCACTCAAACACCCGCATGTCCTTCTCCTTTTCTGGGAGTCCCAGCAGGATGGGTAGAGCCAGTGGGACCTTAGGGCCGCCCTGGCCGAGCTCCAGGGTGACCGGGGGCCATGCATCCAGAATACCACGGTGCGTGGTCATGCCCTCGACTCTGACTCGAGGGCTCCTGAGTCGTTCTCTTTCATCGGACTTTGTGAACTCCTCCTCCTTCCCCGAGTTTCCTCTGACCAGACCTCTCTACATCTCTGCATAGTTGCTGTCTAATCAGGTCAGATCGGAGCCTGGCAGGGCACGTTCCTCGCTGAAGTTGATTGTAAAGACAGGGTGCCGGGCGTGAAGAATCCAGACCAGGGAGTAGTGGTTACTTCGGGTCTGAGCACAATCCCAGTGGGGCTGAAAGCCAGCCCCAGTTTCTACTTCCCCCGTCTGTAGAGAAATCTGTATTCAATGCATGCAAAAGAACCACTCAGGATTTGTGAATAAGCCTCAGAGGTGTGAAACCTGCAGGCTCCTTTTTTAAGCTTGTCAGCTGTGACCTCCCAATGACATTATTCTGCTGTTTGGTTTAGTCTCAGAATAGCATCTTCCAACATTGACTACCTGTCGCTACTCCTGTCCACACTGGTGCCGCCTTCTCCGACCTCTGGTGAGGTTGGAATCTCCCCTCCGCTGGAGAGACTGAGGACTAACAGGTCCTCTCCGCCGACACCCAAGTCCAAAAAAGGTGTCATCCATCATCAGGCAAATCTTAATTTCTGAAATGTAGGGAAAGTGAATCTCTGCAAAGGGGGAGAGGGTTGGAAAGTCGTGCGTGTCCCTCACAGGGTATGAAAAGTGAACGAGGGCTCGGTCAACCTGTTTTCCCGAACGAGCCCTGTGGCTTGCTCTGCGAGTTGAGCACGTCACCACTTGTAGGATGTTGCATTGTCATGGGTGCGCTTATGGGACGAGGCCTTAGAAGCCCTGGGGTCCTGTCTGGTTGCAAGGTCAGGGGACCATGGGGGAAAAGTGACTTCCTTACATCACTTGTATTTCTTCTCCTTCTGCTCCAGGAAATGCAGAGGTCTGTCCAGCTTCTGTTTCTGTACTTAGAAACCTAGTTTTGGGGAGTGACAAGGCCTACCGTAGCACCTTAGAGAATTTAGGTGTACCTGAAGACACTATCAAAGCTTCGTTGGAAGTGAAGGGATGGATAGATTACCTGCCCTTTATGAGGAGATCGAGAATTTTCAATGTTGTAGTAAGTGTTTGTCCTTTCTGCACAGAGGTTTCTTTCTGGCTGCAGAGCCAGGAGGGCGATCAGGGTCCTGCCCTGTGGGCGCAGGGTGGGGAGGGACCTCCTCCTTTCCTCACCTGTGATAGTGGCCACAGGGTGGAGGATCATGTGGCACCCGCTGAGCTAAACTGAGGCTGAACAGAGCCCCTAGCGCGTTCTTCTTTCTGACGTGTCCTCTCGGGCTCGTGTTCACCGTGGTGTCCTGAGGAGGACAACCAGGGCGCAGCGGGTGATGCTGAAGGTCAGAGCCAGCTGCCTCCCTCCCTGGGAACTTCCCAGAAGTCAGAGGGCGAGTCCCCTCACCCAGTGTAACAGTCTCTGGGGATCCTCACGGAGGGCGGGGAGTGTTGAAGGGGAGAGAGTGGGAGGGAGGACGCTGGCCCAGGCCCTGGGTCAGGACGGAGTGGTGCCTGGCTGGGGGCTGCGCAGCCTCTCAGGGAGCCAGGCCCCTCCCTGTTCCTTTGCCCCACTTCCCCACCCCTTCCTGTCACGGCCTGTGGGCTGAGATCCCCTGTTCTGTCCTCTGCAGCCTCACGTGGAGCTGAAACACATCCATTATGTGTTTGGAGAGAAATCAGATATTTACAATCATTTCCCAGCTTTCGTACCCATGGAATTAAGTTGGGTTTCTGTGCAAAGCTGGTTTCCCACACGAGCCGGATGCTCCGTGGGGAGAAGTCCCTGTGCTGCCAGGTTGTGTGCAATGTTCTGTGCATACAGGAGACAGGACATGTCCTCCGGGTGAATGTCCCCATCCCCCTCCGGCCCCCATGCTGGACTTGCAACCCGGCGTCCACTTTGGAGTGAAAACGTCGGGTCTGGGACCAGGCACAGGCAGGAAACCCTGGGCTGCTCGGCCCAGCTCTTGACCCTCTCCTGGCTCCACTGGAAACCCCAGTCCTACGTCTGGGCCATTCGGGGTGTGTCTGTTTGTCGGGCTCTGGCCATGCTCTGTCCTGTCCCGCATGGTATGTCATGGTGGTGTCAGGGCCGGTGACTTCCCCTCCCACTGGGCTCTCCTGCCTGGAGCCTCCATGTGCCTTTGATGAGAGCAACGTCCTTCACTTGCTGGCGTGGACAGAAATGCCCGTGAACGTGTCATGTGCAGGGGCAGCATCACTGACATCTCTTTAATCTTTTTCTGTTTCAGGAAAGCCTAGTGGCTCAATGTAACGTCTAGAGTTTAAACTCTACACACGCGTGCCTGTGTCACTCAGGGATGGCCTGATCATCCCCAGAAAATGTGAAGGGTTCACCGTCTTGCTGCAATAAACTGCTTGCCCTGCAATTCTCCAGCTGTCTTGTTTTTGTCCAAAAGTCTGTGACCTAGAGTTGCAGTGGTTTCTGTCAGGAAGGGGCCACTGTGTGGTGTCGATGGCACGTTCCAGAAGCGCCGTGGCCAGGGGCCATAGCGGCGTGGGGGCAGGGGCCCCGGGGGAAACGCGGGCTCAGGAGCCATGTACGCAGTCTTCATGCTGTGCCCGGGAAACACGAGGACTCGCGACGCTCTTCCGACCGCTTGGGGCACACAGACGGGACCGGGCTGGGGGACCGAGGCCCACGGTCCGCTTCGGGCAGGAGGCCTTGCACGAGCGCATCTCTGGCGCCCCTCTGCCCTCTCCTCCCTGTCACCCGGGTCCTGCACTCAGCCATCATTGTGCCTGTGCCTTTCCTCCTGGATTAAGCTGGGTCACACCTCCCACGGTGGCTCACGTGGTCCCTTTTCTTCTGTATTGTCCCCGCACAGGACAGCCAGTGACCTCAACTGTACGGCCCTTTTCACGTCCCCTCCTTGGCTGAGCCCCCTCTAACTCTCACAGCCTACAATCCATCTTTATACACAGATGCATAGCCATACGCAATCATGCACACACGGGTACACGATGTTACACACACAGACACACCTGCAAACATGCACTATCACACAGAGATGCACAGTTGTCCCTCTGCTGGCACTTCATTTCATCTGATGTAATATTCATGTCACAAAGCTCTTTTCAGACCATTCTGACTAAGTGGACGTTCTTAAAGAACAAATGTCATCATTGTAATTATTTCTGAAAAAGCATAAGCGTTTACATGCATCGAGCACCGCTTCGGGCAGACATTGTCCCAGAAGGTGTACATTTCGGTCTCACCTTGTCCTGACTGGTCTCTGAGAAAGTGACAGACTGTTACCACCACAGCCGTGGGGATGAAGAATGTCCTACCGTCTGCCCCTCAAGCCTGGCTCTGTGTCTTCTCAGAATCAACGGGGAGGACTTCAAAAGCCAGGAGGCCCCGGCTCCCCTCCAGGACTGACGAGTGGCATGTCTGCGGTGGAACCCATGCGGTCCCCCTTCCTCAGCTCCACGTTGTACAGGGGCAGTGCCCAGTGACTTAGGAGGCCAACCTCCCACTGAACGGGGGAGGACAGCAAGACTGTGCATGGCAGTCCGGGTGCCCAGCCCCACGGGCTGTCCCTGGACACCTACCCAGGCCACTCCTCTCACCCTGCGGGTCTGGCCCCTGCAGGCCGTTCAGCCGTTTCCCTGTTGTGACACTGAGGGACTTAGGGTCTTGGGAAGGAGCCTTTCCCATGAGGAGCGGCCGGCCATGTGGGAGGTGAGGCCATGACAGGCTCCAGGGCCGGGGCGGAGGGCAGACATGGGAGAGGGATTGCTGCGTGGGGACAGTTGCTGCCCAAGGAGTTCTGCCGATTGAGATGGTAAAGGAAATGCCTGGGAGTGTATCCAATGCCAGTGCGCTGGACACATCAGTGAGAATAAAAGGCCTCTTCTCATTTGTGTTTTTCACCGAACACACAGAAGACAGTCCCAGCGACTGTAGCTCTCTGACAGGCAGCAGAGCTGTAACTGTGAACATGAGTCAGGGAGTATGGCAGTCACCCCTGAACACACTGTCCCTGCGTTGCTGACACCTCCTGTCCAATCTTGTCTGGTGCCAACTCTCTGTTTGATTTGTCTCCTGGGTTTTCATTCCTTGAAGGGAGTGTGGATTTTAGGAAGTTCAGATCATACCCTCACATAGAGTCTGTCCATGCACAAAGGACAGATCCTGCCGAGCCTCTGGCCTGGATCTCTGAGACCTCTGACTCTTCCCCAGACACGCGCTATCCTCTCTGCCTGGACTCTGCTTCCCAAATATCTTCTTGCTGCATCCATCTCACACTCTGTGACAGCATCGGTGCTTTGAAGCCAAAGGGCTGGGGTTGTCATCAGCTTGCTTAAAGCAAACGTTCAATGGCTCTCTGCCCCAATGACAGGAAACTCACGTCACCTTCAGAAATTAGTGCATTGAGGCATGTATGGTCACCAACCTTTACCTTTTGTCCAAACAAATGCTTACTCCTCTCTCTCCTTTAATTCTACCTTTTCTCTCCCAGATGTGAATGGGACAGTTTGAGGACATAAAAATGTGTATAGACAAGAAGACAGGAAAGAATGGTGCCAACATGTATATAAATAAAAGGAAGGATGGCCAATTTCTAAAACATAGTCCATTTTCTGGGATACTTTCTTTGAAAGTGTGATGTTTGATTTCCACACACCTTGGGAGGTGCCTGGTGTGGGAACGGCCGGGGTAGTCTTATCAGTTAACTTTTTGCTGCCATGAAGACATCTCCAAGGCCAGTGCCTGTTCTGAAGTCTCTGGCCTGGGAAAGCACGACCCACCCAACTTGTAGACATTGGCGTAGTCACGAGGTAGAAGAGGGTCACGTCGGTGGCCATCCTCAGTGTTATATCAGCCCTCGAAGAAATGGACAGAATCAATCAGCTTTACAGTAGAAGTGAAAAATAAAAGTATCAAGTCTCCTTTGCCCAATACTGTGGGGTTGATTACTAGGACTAACTTACAATGAACAAAAGATAAGGTATCATCCAATCTTCAGAGCTCTTACATGGGCTTGGTGCTGATGCTTGAATCACTGAGGGAAAATAGCTTTCACTCAATGTTACTACATTTATTAGCATGGCAAGGCCTCTGATGACCAAAATATTAGTGTAAGTAAACTCAGGTCTTGTTTGAGTCTGAGGACAGACCTATACAGTTCTGAGTTACCACACATGTATCTGTCACCCATGACTCAAGCTGTCCAGGCTGAAATCTGAGTGGTTCTCCTCTACAGCCTAGTTTTCCACAGCAAGTGATCAGTAACTGCCATCCCAGCATGGAAACCAAAAGCTACTTCCCTCCTCCAATTTCTGTATTTAATTTGGAACCTGAATCAAAGTACCTTTTGGAGGAGAAAACATCAGGCCCCCAAACCAGCATTCTAACCAGTAGGTTTCTCCTATTTCTGCTTAGGAACGCTTTCTTTCAATTGTGTCTTTGTTAGAGGAGTTATACTGCTTTGACTTCCCTTGATGGTCAGCGTGCGCTCTGGAAAAAGGCAGAGATGGAGAAATACATGCTTTATTGTACGTGACCTGGGATTGCTTTTGCTGAGGATGAAACTTGTGCAGGGTCCAGTGTCCCAGCAGACAACGGGGCAGGTCCATACTCAATAGGGCATTGGGCAGAGCCCTCACCCAGGCCCGTGCGAGGAGACAGGCTCCCATTTCATTACGAAAGTCTTCCCCTTGCCTTCCGTATGAAGATCGCCAACAATAGTCAAGGAGGGGGGAGTACATACATAAGAACACACCTTCTTTCCATCTCTAGCTTCTTCCTAAATCAACATTGTTCTTGGCAGCTTCGGATCAGGTGAACGATGGGAAGGAATTAGTCTCAGATAATCCAGGCAGAGAATGATGCATCCACAGGGAAGCTTACCATTGCTTCATGTCTCAGGCTCTCGCACCCTTTTCTTTTTTCTTTATTCTAGACCAACTTGGTTTCCCTTGTTCCTTCCGTTCATCCCTGCTGAGGCTGATTGGTGTTTCTTTCCTAGGAGGCTGTCCTGTCCCTCGCTGACACCAAGAGGCACACGTTGCTTGTGCCCCTCAGCTTGCCAGGTGCCATGTGCACTCAGGATCCGTGTACTTGCTGTTCCCTCTGCCTAGACAACTCTTCCCAGCAGGTCCCCAGGGTTTCACCGTTCCCTCAGAGAGCTGAAGAAGTCTGGTCCGATAGCCTGCCTGGACCTCCCTGCCCGATGCTTCCCTATTGGTCCTTTTGCCATTCTTGGCACATTCACTTCCTCTTCATCTCCTATTCAATTGCAGTCTGCTGGTTACTTCCAGTCAGAGGTAAGCTGCAGCAGTGCAGGGCCCTCTTGACTAGTTCCTACCACTGAATCTGTGACACACAGCACAGAGCCCATCCTAGGAGCTTCACAATTGTTGGAGTCAGGATGGATAAATGAATGGGTGGATAGACGGATGAATAGTGGATGGAGAAATGGAGAAATGAAACCTCAACTTTAGTCATAATTCCTCTGCTCAATGCCCTGTGATAGGTTGTTGTCATAAAATGTCAGCCATCCTTACAAGACCAGGCATGGTCTCATGTATGCCCCCTTCAGAACTGAGGGAAAGGGAGCTCAGGACTACCAGCACCGTGAGTTCCCCAAGAACACTTCCTGATTATGGGTTGCATCAAGGGTCAGATCTACACCTTCATGCCCCCAGATTACAACCATCTCACCACTCAGCAGTGCCCAATCCCTGCCCCCAAGCATGTGTAATGCACTGCTCATATCAGCCTTTGAATCACTGGTACAAAAACCAGAACACACTAACAAGACCTAAGCAAAACTTAATTTTATGTGTATGACTAATTTCATGAGGTTGGGTTAACTAAGTGAAAGAGTCTTTGTAAAAACAACCTTCAAAGAAGTTGAGAAATGATTTCTCTTTCCCAACCAAAGGCACCTGCCTCGCAGTGTGTGGGTGAGGAAAGTCTGTCCTTGAGAGGCGGTATGTGTTATTGCACCCAGGCCAGGTGTTTGGTGGAAATCAGGAACAAGAGACACTGGATATGTAGCTGCTTCTCCTCCTCCTCCTCCTCCCTCCTTCTCCTCCTCCTCCTCCTCCTCCTCCTCCTCCTCCTCCTTCTTCTCCTTCTTCCTTGGGGAGGCAGAATTTAAGAGAGGAGTACTAATAGAGGTGAGGGGAGAAGAGGAGGGTGGTGGAGGGGGAGGAAGAGTTGAAGTTGAAGAATGTGGAGGAAACAGAGGAGGGGAGGAAGAACTGGGGAAAGAGGAAGAGGGCTTTTGTGTTTGAGGATTTTCAAAGCTCTGCCTTGGGGCTGTACAAAGCCCAGGGAAGGTGGTTCTGGGCGATTGTCCAAGTTCTTTCCTGGCCCAAGACCAGGTATCTCCAGTGACTCATCCCATCATCAAGA